AAGTCCAACATTGGAAAAAGAGATACACTTTCCAACCTTGGTAAGTCAAAAACTAAAAATCCAAGTTTGGAAGGTCATTTTTGTATTACCAATGTTGGTAAACTATGTAATAGTCCAACATTGGAAACAGAGAAATCCAATGTTGGAAGGTTATATGTTATATTACCAAGTTTGGTAATCTATGTAATATTCCAACATTGAAAACATAGGAATCCAAGGTTGGAGGGTCATATTTGTATTACCAATGTTGGTAAACTATGTAATAGTCCAACATTGGAAACAGAGAAATCCAATGTTGGAAGATTATATGTTATATTACCAAGTTTGGTAACCTACATGATATTCCAACATTGGAAACATAGAATTCCAAAGTTGGAAGGTCATAGTTGTATTACCAATGTTGGTAATCTATGTAATAGTCCAACATTGGAAACAGAGAAATCCTATGTTGGAAGGTTATATGTTATATTACCAAGTTTGATAATCTATGTAATAGTTCAACATTGGAACCAGGAAAAACAGATTATAGGGTTAATATTTTGATTATCATTAATTACAAAACACTGAGCTATATAATATTCTAAATAAATAAAAATGTATGTCAAGCACAGGATATAAGGCATGTTACCATATAGTGTAACATCACTGCATCATCATGAACACAAATTCCAGTTTAACTCGATATTTTATTTCTGGAGGTTGAATTTCAACATATCTCTTTTGCACTAAAGCGATATAGAAACTAATAATAATTATTGGTAGCTCATATTTTTCATAACTTTTGAACTAAACAAGCCACAGAGCAAACACGTTAAATAAACAATCTTTTTGATATCTTAATCCCCTTCATTTTCTGACAGACTTGATGGTGTGGATGTATCAGTTCCATCAACTGATTCAGTAGAATTACCTGAAGGTGAACTACTTAAAGCCTCTTGTTTCTTAATGTTCTCTACACGCAGCTCTTCCACAAGATCTTTTAAAATTACAATTTGTTCTCGTTCCAACTCTTTGTAATTTACATCTGGATTTGTAGTACCGACATATCCCTTTTGCACTAAACTGATTGCAACATTAACTGCTAAGTCATATTTCCCTTGACCTCTCATCTTAATCTTCAGGAGTTTGGCGGCAGGAGCTAAGTGCTTTTTAACACTTAAATTTCGAAATGTCGGAACACGAAAGATAACAGCGCACACTAACTGTGCACTGTAATTAGAGATGTCTTCAACAGTATCAGCAGTTTCCGTTGATTCTGGCTTGGATGTGTCTGTCACAGCTGAAATAGAACATTAACAGCAATTAAATAAAATCATTAATTTTTGCTGTGTTTTTAAACATAGAAGTATGGGTAGGTCATCAATGGGGGACCTACTATACTATTACAGCACAATATAGATACAGTGTATATAGGCAGCGCCTGCCTCCAAACCTAGCTAGTGGCTCATCATGCTGGCTGTTATTTCAGTATTCCTGTTTCAGTAGCAGGAAGCAACATAGGAGTAATGCGTCTTCCCCCTGGTTGGGATGCTACAAATTGTATGTAGTTTCACTGCAGGAATACCAAACAACAGTTTGTTGGGTTCCTCCAGTACCAATAATTTATACACGTCAGATGTAGAATGAAAAGTGCCTTGTCAAAGGATTGAAAAACAGGTGCATATGGGTACTTTGTCCAACTATCTCCCTCTTTTATGGATGATATGACACTGGCAAATTTAACATGGGGCAGGTCATTGAAACAGTATTGATACAAAGCAATGTTCTGAGTGGACACTTGCATATCATACTCTGACTCATATCTTCGAGATCTGAGGATGATGAAGCTTTTGCTCTCTTGGCTGGGGTTCTAGTTTTCTATCAGGATAAAGATAAAAGAAAGCTAGGGTGGCTGTATGCATCATGTCATCATTGAATCCATCATCATGGTATTGGCTGGAAACCTTATTAGCACTTCCATCAATCATGGATTCATGGATAGTACAGCTGTGTATACAAATAAAAAAATACCTCAAAGGCATATCCGTCACTGATTTTTCGATTTCTCTCTGAAGCCCATTGGAGGATGTGGTGTCTTATGGCACCTAAAATAAATAAGATGAAAAAGAAGATTTCATGACAAAACAAGACTACCATACGATTAATACTGAATTAATTTTATCCTATGTGGTAGAACTGAAGCTTAGCTGATGATAATGCAGTGCTGTAAGTTATTCTTTGAAAATTATATGCTAAGAGTTTGACCAGTCAAATATTGTTCTGAGATTGGAGTATTCTATATTGTAATGCACCTTACTGGCTAAAGACTAGAAGACAGCATAAAATGGTTTATGCCAGTTGAAACGGTTACCATATTTTGTCTAATAAACACTCAATTCCTTTCTGAGTTACTTTGGGGAGGCATTAGGTCAAAACTCAATGACTGAAAGGCAAGCCAGGCAGACATAAATTTATTGTTACATTCTTAAAATAACCAAATGATCTGAATAATTATACATTCCCTCCATCCCCATAAACCCCAGAGAGTAGAGGGGGCATTTATTTGAGTTCTGTGGATTTCGGGGCATGCTAGCATAATTTTTGGTAACCCAAATATGTCATTGTTTAAGCTATTGATATGGAAATTTGTTGAAGTATCATGAGAGCTATTTGCTTGTCCTTACTTTGGCCAAATCGTATTTTCTTGATCTCACAGACAGGCAGTAAAGATGAACACATTTCTGATAATACCAAACTGTTGCCATTATTACTTTTAAAGTATATCTTCTCATTCCCTGCCCACCGTTTCCCACATTCCTTTCTGATTATGTTTATCCTGAGAATGTAAGAAACAGTGTAAATTAAATTAAAGAAAGTAAATAAATAAAAAAATAAATTTATAAATGCTGAGTTCATGTACAGGTCAGTAGTTCCCCCCTTTTCAGAAAAAAAACTATTACTTGCTGTGATATAGACGCTTTTCTTCAGGAGACATGGCCTTTTTTCACTCTTGGTTATTTTCACCTTCATATGCTGTTCAGATTCAGGTGTGGCACCAGGCAAACTTGCCTTATGACTATTATCTTTTGCTGAAAATTTGAAAAGTGCAAGGATATTAAAATCACATTTACATTAGAAGAAAAATTGGTCAAATTACTGCTCTTTGGAATAACATGCAAATTCTCATTTCAAAACTCAACCAACGTACAGTACTTGAATTATAGACTGCTTTCAATCATATAATTGCAAAGACAACTAGTACCAATAACAGATCCCTGAGAAAGTCAAGAAAGCATTTGCAAGTGCACTGTGGGATCACTTGCAGTGAATTTGCTATGAGATGGAAGCATAATTTTAAAAATTTACTAACCCAACATGAGCTCCTTGATACAACCCAGAATAGTCAGTTGTTTACCAATAGATGCTATTCCGATGTCTTTAAGACACTGTCTATCAACTATTGCCAGTGCTTTGCCTGTTATCTCTACATCTAAGAAACCACCAATTAAAATATTAAGGAGTAATTATATTTCATGGGAACATTAACTATAAGGACAAAATTAGTTAAACAAAGCAAAATCACAAAACTTTGATGAGGTTATGTATATGCTACTTACTCTCAAATAGTCTTGCTTCCTCCTCATATTCAGGTTGAACCCTGCGTAGCCATTTGGCAACTTGCTCAGGATTCCACTCCAATTCGGAAAACGAAGAATCAGGATTTATAGTGTACCTCAAGAGGCTAAGGGGCTGATGACATGGGGAATTTCAGCCCAGTTAACCCGGGCTGAAATTTCAGCTTGGCTTAGCAAACAAATCTTCCTGCCAGTGCTGAAAAACCTAGTGTAATTGCAATAAAATCTCAGCCCGGCTGAAAAGTGAGCTTGGGCATGTGCAGTGATTGTGTTTTAAATGAAACAAAATGGTGGGGAGCCAAATTTCGTCATGTAATCACAACAAACTTTCAGCCCGGGGCTGAAATTCGCCATGTTATCAGCCCCTATGTAACATTAAAGCTCAAACTTGAATTTATAAGCTAACTTAAACAATTGCAAGGTGAGGTGATTGCAAGTTAAGCTTTTATACTTAAGTTAACGAAGTCACCGGACAAATAACCAAACTACATGTATGAGCCCTACACAATGCAAGGGGTAGTTTCGCCAATTCTTCACGCATCATAAATGTGAGAAACGCAAACAAAGACACTCTCATTCAATATTTATGGTAAAATGTTGTAAAATAGCACTGAATTTTGTATTTCATACTGGAAATTGAAGTTGGGTAATGGATGGGCTAAAATTGCGCCAAAAACTGGTTTCGTAAACTTTGCCCCGTTTACTAGGGATAACCGGTCTTCTAACGTACTGGACTCAATCAACAGACTTGACTGAGTTTAATTGTTTAATCGTTCTCGTGTATTCACTTGGTTACAGCAGGCATGTAAAGAGCTACTCTGGCAACTTGAAACGAGATCCTAATTCCTATACTGCAATCTCTACATTGTGATTGATCGTTGCTAAGCACTATGAAAAAGGTTATTCGAGGTTATGTCAATCATGTACAAATTAGAAACTCCACGATAATGTTGTTGACAAAATTAACGTCACGCAAGTAATCACACAGTCTCCAACACACTCCCCCATGCGACTTGGTATGCGAAGACGCATGTCACTTAGGAGACTGAAATAGTTCGATTAAGTCAATAACATGAAAAAGTTCATTGCTGGTCGCGTGGTCTCGCACTGTAGCTCTAGAGGGTATAGGTGCTGTACTGGTCTTTCGATCACTCCTTTGGTTGTCCTCAACTGCACCGCACATGTATAGCCGTCACGCCCCGGGAAGATTTGTTGAACGACAACTAAGGGCCACATGCTGCGGTTCTTGTTGTCTGTTGGCACTGCATCTCCAACTTTTACCTTGTGGTTTGCTGTCTCGTGAAATAGGTTATGGCGCTCTCTCAGGGCTGTCAGATACTTGCGTTGCCATCTTATCCACATGTGATCCTTGCAGGTTTGAAGGAATCATGCTCGTCTGCGTAGGTCCTTGTCTGGGATGCGCCAGGTCTGCTCTTCAGGAAGGTGCGTGGTCCACTGAAACAGGAAGGTTGCTGCTGTAAGGATTGGTAGATCTGGATCGTCTTGAACGTAATTGAGCAGGCGTCGGTTCACTTGGGTTTCCACTTCAAGAAGTACGTCGATCAGTTCATTCCAGAACAGAGAACCTCTCCCGATGACCTTGTGCATAGCTTTCTTGACTACTCCAATGAGCCGTTCAAACTGCCCGCCCCACCAAGGGGCATTACTAAGGTTGAATTTCCACTTGATATCATGCGATTCCAGGTAGCCTTGTAGCTTCTCGTCTTCTCGCACTTGTTTCAGCCACTTAGCTGCTTTCACAAAGGTGCTACCATTGTCTGAGTAGATCACTCTGGGACGTCCTCGCCTGGCGATGAGCCGCTTGAGGCATGGCAGGAAAGCACCGGTTTTTAGGCTTGGCACCAGCTTTAGGTGAACTGCTCGGGACAAACTACAGGAGAAAATCACCAAGTATGCCTTTCCTTGTCGTCAAGAGGTCAGCTTGTAGAGGATTGGGCCTGCAAAATCTGTCCCTATGACTTCAAATGCTGCTCCACCAAGGGTATGGTCATTAGGCATTGGTCCAGGGGGTGGTGTTGTTAAAGGCGGTGCTGTAAACCATTTACAGCCCCAGCATGTTGATCTAACAGACTTTACCAGCTTTCTGAGTTTTGGAATCCAGTAACTCTCTAGAACGGCGGCCATTGTAAGCGATACTCCCCTGTGAAGGTTCTCTGCGTGGATTCTCTGAACCAGCTTCCTGGTAAACGTGGAGTCTGCTGGAAGGGATACTGGATACATCCCCTGGATTCTTCCGCGGCACTCAAGTATTCCTTCTGAATTAGGGATAAGATTCAGTGCATTTTTCGTCTGTGTAAATTGAGGCTTCTTCAAATCCAGGTTCTGAACTCTACTAATCCACCAGTCTCTTAGTTCTCGCAGGTCTTCGCTTGTGAGGGGACCTTTGCGATCTCTGTGAGTGGTGAAACGCCGTATCCAGGCTTGAATTGAATGTAGTGCTCGTCGTAGATCATGAGAGTTGAGAAGCCTATCGAATTCGTTCTGCTCTTCTTCTTCGAGACAATTTTTTGCCATGCTCAACACTTCTTTGATGACTTTAGCCTCCTTTTCTGAAGCTTGTGAATTTTTGCTAACAGGGTTTTCAGGCCAGCTCTCGGGATCTCGTAACCACACTGGACCACTCCACCAGAGCTCTGCGTTAGTGACCAGACCCCCTCTGCTTGCAATATCGGCTGGGTTGTCAAGGGTTGGGACGTATCTCTACTTGACCTCCAGGTGTTGGTACTGGTGGTATTGACCGTTTCCTAAAATCCAATGTAACGCCACAGTACTGTCAAGCCATCCATAGACAGCAGGCTCAGTTAGCACTGTAAGGGCATTTTTCACGTTCATAACCAAATTTGTTGCCGTGTGGGCGCTGACGAGCTCTGACCTAGGAATGGTCAGATCTTTCTTAGCCAGTCTTGCTTTGGCTGTGACGAGAGACTGTGTGACTCCACTCTTCTGGTGTATAACCGAGTAAACCGCCGCCCCAACTCCAATGGTAGATGCATCTCCAAAGGCGTGTAGTTCAAACAAATCGACTTGCTTGTGATACAGTGCCAAAGGTCTTTGAGTGTTTACTTTCGCCAGAATGGATTCTTTCCACTTCTCCCATCTTGACTTGACACTGTCTGGGATAGGTGCATCACAATGTAGAGAATGTAGTATAAGAATAAGGATCTAAATTTTGACCACCAGTCAAGAGATCGTCAACGTAGAAGCTTCTGCGCAGGCGTTCTACTTCCTCTGGGTATTTCTTGGCCCAGCTGTTTAGGTGGTATTCGAGGACTCCACCTAGGAGGAACGGCGATGGGGCGAGACCAAATAGTACTCTTGTAAAGCGATAGGTTTCAATCTCTGAATGGGCGTCAGCTCGCCAAAGGAAACGAAGAGCGTCCCGTTCGCTTTCATGGATCCTGATCTGTAAAAATGCTTTTCTGATATCACCTGCGAGGATCACTGGATAGCCCCTCTGTTGTATAAGTATGTCCCACAGCTTGTTTTGTAGAACAGGTCCTGGGTACAGGCAATCGTTTAATGATGGTGAATTTGGCGTGGCTCTCGATGATGCATCGTAAACGATTCTCATCTTTGTAGTTTCGGCTGACTTTCGGATGACACTCTTATGTGGAATATAGAACTCTTTAGGTTGTGAGACGGGCGGTGCTTTCTCGATTACTCCTTCTGCTAGCTGTTCTTTGATGATGTCATCATAATCCTTTGTTAGGCAATCACACTCAAGCTTTCTGTTTAGCTTTTGTAGTCTTCTAAGACTGTTTTCTTTGTTTGACGGTACGTCTGGGTGATTGGGCTTCCATGGCAGGATTGTCTCGTACCAGCCTTCTGGTGAGCGTGTTAATCGTTCTTTGAACTCTTCGAAAATGACTGTCTGGTCCTGGTCTGCTGAGTCACGCAATCCCAGAACGTCGAGTTTGCAAAGTTCTTCATAATTAGACTGGGTTGTCTGTGTGAGCAACATGACACTCTTATCGAATTCTTGGCCAGGTGACATGATAAATCAACCAAATTTCGTCAGTTCGGCAATGGGTGCGTTGTCCTCCCAGATGCATGGTTTTGTTTCTGTTTTTATCCTTGCATACTCTCCGCTCCCGAGGATTACGTGTACTGGCAGTCTTGCTTTCATGTCGTTGTGGTTAACATAAACACCTCTCACGTGTGGATACTTGTCAGGAAGTTCGCGATAATTGGGGTTATCAATTGACAACAGTTCTGACCTGTTTATCTTGGTTGCTTTGACAGGAAGTGTAAATTGGTGGTTGACAGATTGGAGGCTCAAATCGTATACTTCAAATGCCGCGACCTTGGTTGACATCAACATATCGATTGACTTTGTTTGGACTGCAGAGGGCTTCACGCAAAGAAGGTCGATCAATTTTGCTGACACGTATGAGCTACCCGCTCCGGAGTCGATTAGCGCTCGGCATTTGATTCCATTGACCTCTTCTACGAGAACCAGGAACAACCCTTCTCCGACTTGGTTTGTAGTTAAGGCGACCCCTGTTGTAGGAGTTGGCTGATTAGTTTCTTGTCTGGGTGCATCATAAATGGACGTGTGGTGACGCTTGTGGCATTGTTGACAGACGGATTTGCTAGGACAGAAGGCAGCGCGATGGTTTCCGGTGGTGCAGTTGAAACACAAACGTTTGTTGAGGAGAATTTGTTTGCAATCAGCAACATTTGTCACTCTTGTACATTTGACAGCTTTGTGATCTTTGCCGCAGTAAACGCAAGGCCAACAGCGGGGTTTACCATCAGCGCCCCGACGCGTGTGGTAAATTCTTGCTTCCTGGCGTACGTTCCGGTTTGTTGATTGCTGTTCTTGCTCACGCTCACGGTGGTTTATATCCATTGGATTTCTCCTGGTCCACAATCGAACTGCGTCTGAAAGTTATGCAAAGTCCCAGCTTTCCCAGTCAGGGTCGGTCCTGACGAGATCTCTGTGGATCGCTGGCAATTTGTCTAGCGTCATAGACACCGCCCTATTGACTTGTTCCAGTTTGTTTAGTGACTGCAGGGCTTGCACGCAGTACGTTAGCTTTTCGCTTAATTCACCAATTTTTCTCGGGTTTGGGCTTGATATTGAGGGGAGATCCAGAATCTCTTTGATGTTAGCTTTGACGATTTCTGACTCCTTTCCAAACCTCTCGCTTAGGATACTCTTTGCCCGATTGTATTCCTTAGCCGTGAAGGGCAACGCCTCTATTGCTCTTTTCACTTTGACATCCAGTAGTTCTCGAAGGTAGGAAAATTTCGTTATCGGTTGAACGCCCATTTTATCGATTGCTTCAGTGAATTGTCCCCAAAATCGTAGCCAGTCCATATAGGTACTGTCAAACTTTGTCATCATCAGTTTAGGAAACTTGGCTTGTATGTCGCTTGGCATCGTTGTCGCTTGTTGGGGGTGTGGCTCAACTTGGATTTCTGCCTTCATCTCTATCTTTGCTTTGTGAAACTTAAGTTCTTCTTGCTTGACAATTGCTTCTGCTTCTCTTTTGCGGTCGTCGATCCATGTGCACATTTTATCCACTTCGCAATCTGCTTTTTCCAGTTGTGCGTCGATTCCGCTATTCCATGCCTCGATGTCGGCAATTTTTTCTTTCACACCTAGTTTTGTCGCTTCTACTTCTATCCGCATGCGATTTAGTTCTTTACTGAGGGATTGCAGGGTGGACAAATGTATTTCGATCGCTTCTGACTTCCCTGTTTCTACGATGGTGTTCGTTTTACCAGTGCTCATTTTAAGCTGTGTTACTTTGATATCTAGATTTGCTTCAGTCTCTTCCATCTCCATAATCTTCACATGAGCGGAAAATCAGGACTAAAATTATACTCACAACAGTTATCCTTATCCTTCTCCGTCCCGTCGGAGGTGCCACGTTTTGTAAACTTTGCCCCATTTACTAGGGATAACCGGTCTTCTAACGTACTGGACTCAATCAACAGACTCGACTGAGTTTAACTGTTTAATCGTTCTCGCGTATTCACTCGGTTACAGCAGACGTGTAAAGAGCTACTCTGGCAACTTGAAACGAGATCCTTATTCTTATACTACATTCTCTACATTGTGATTGATTGTTGCTAAGCACTATGAAAAAGGTTATTCGAGGTTATGTCAATCATGTACAAATTAGAAACTCCACAATAATGTTGTTGACAAAATTAACGTCACGCAAGTAATCACGCAGTCTCCGACGCTGGTTCGAAATGCTCAAGATTAAACGCGTCGATATCTGTCACTGCTGCATGCAGTGAAAATAAAAAAATACACGTTTTAAAATAAACTCACCTGACTGAGAAAGGGGTAGATCCCGTTCACAAAAAGAACTAGTTATAATTTTGCAAAATCTTTTCGATAAACACTGCATTTCTTGATGTTATAACTGGAAATAGAAGCTGGTCAAAAATGGCGCCAAAAGCTACTCTAGTTTCACATGTACATGCTCGAAAAAGAAATGAAGCTCGTCACCGCTGGATTGAGAATAAAAAATATATCTAAAAGCTTACCTGATTGAGAAAGGGGTAGATTCTCTTCTTCACAAAAAGAAGTTGTTGCCATTTTGCTGAATCTTTTCAAAGGTTGATATAAACACAACACAATCCAGTTCTCAGTTTCTTCACTCTTCGACCAACCTCCTTCCCGTTCCCAAAGACCCTGAGAACGAGGTTACCTCCTAACCAGACTCCTGCGGACTTGTCAAGGAGAACGAGGGCTCTGGGAACGAGATTAAAGTCCATGGCGGACGCGAAGAGACGCTTGCGCTCCAAAGTTTAACAAACATAATGCAATCAGAGGATAATTTTCCGGTAACTAGTTGCTACTGTACAGGAACTCCAGAAGCAAGAGAAATCCGTCATCGTGGAAAACCTCATGTGCACTGTCCGTGCGCTAAATGCAAGGGACGAGCAGTATGGCGTATGACCGCATGGAGGCATTTGAAACAGTCATCAACAGAGCTTACATGTACACCGGTTAAAAAAGCATGCAGCAATGCATTAGAAGAACCTGAGTGCTTGCCTTTGGAACCTCTCATAGAATACAAAGAGCAAGATTTTGATCCCAAACATGTTTTTTGGTTTGCGGGAAGCTACAGCGAATTTCCATATTCAAGTGATGTTTGTGCCGGAGCCGCGCGCATGGACCATGAATGCGAAGATTCATCATCCTCCGGTAGTTGTGTTGGTGCCTGAGGATCAATTGACAGTGATGGTGATGAAAGAGGACTGAGTGATGATGAAGCAAGCTCGGTTGAAGGTGGCGATGAGGAAGAGAACCTGAAGAAATTTGTGCAGGATAGCATTCTTTGCTTAGTTGAAATGAAACAGAAAATGGGCTGCTCCATAAATCATTTTGAAGAACTTCTTCAGTGGGGTAAGGACTTGCATACAAGTGAAAATAATGATGCTGCAATTCATTGGCCTAGAAACTGGGATGGAGTGCAATTATTACTTAAGGAACTAGGCTTTTCTGAGCCAAAACATTATTGGATTTGTCTTAGCAGTGACCATTCTAGTCGTTATGGGCTGATGGAATCGAAAGATGAACCTTGTCCACATTGCGGTCATTTAGGGACAATCCCATATTACTACTTAGGCCTGCCAGATAAAGTAAAAAAGTGGTGCTCTTCCCCTCAAATGTGTAAGAAAATGACTGCCCATTGGTCACAACGTGACCATTGGCTTCCTGATGAGATGAAAGAAGGTTGGGGGTGGCCAGTGAAGCATGAAATCTGGGATGGAACAAGGTTTGCCAATCTTGCATCTTTTTGGGATCCAAATGCAGTGTGGATACTTTCAGTCAGGTGCACATATCCTGGATGTAATACTATTATTTGTGCTACTGAAATGGTTGATGCCCCTGAGGCAGGTGGTGGCCTAAAGAAGATAAAGTGTTCTGCATGTGGCACCATATTTCATCATTCTCCGAGGGAAACTTGTGGGGACCCTCGTAATATTGCCTATTGCGGTAAGTTCTGTTAATCTCTATTTCATCACAGGCACCCCAAGCTCAGTGTGAGAGTCAGTTACATGTGGTACCGTATTCCATAATATCAACATGGCTGCAATTGGATTTGTATGGGAATCCTGGTAGTAGATTCAAGAAGATAATTATTCGCAAAATTTATCAATAAAAAAAGCCTTAACTTATTTTATGGTGTTGCTTGCTTCCTGCGTGGTTATTTTCCTGATTTAATGCAAGTTAAGCGATTTCTTTGTTTCCCATGTCTCTCTTTATCATGTTTATGAGTGCAAATACGGGGAAAAAAGGAACTGCTTAAATCGCATTAAATCAGGAAAACAACTGCACTATTGACTAAGAGCTATGTTTCTGTAACTGTGGGAATTAAAATTCATTTATGACTATAAATATTGTCTCAAATATTCCAAAATGTTGTTTTAGGTCACTGGGATGGTTGGCAGCCATTTTCTAGTACTTTTTGTGGATGTGGAGCCATAGAGGTCTCAATAGCCACTATGTCAAAAGTACACCGCTGTCACACTGATGAGATCTATGTTGTTGGTTTCGTCCCAAGTTACCTCATTCCAAAGAAGAGGGATGCAGGCGGTGTAATCTACAAGGAGTGTTTGTACCAGCTACCAATCATTACTATTATCCTGGTTTCAGATTGCAAGGCAGATTTCCTAATGAAGAGAAGTCTATAGTTAACAGTTTGGAAGTCTTGCAGGATATCGAGGAAGAAGAGCGCATAACTGTTAAGCAGGAAAAATCCAAGAACACTGGGTACACAGGATTGTCAATATTTCATAGACTGTATCCCCTCTACCACTTTCAATATGACAAAGATTTCGTCTATGATGAAATGCATGATCTTCCTCTCAATGTCGTCAAACGACAGATTCAGTGCCTACTAGAAAGTGGCAATGAAGACCTTAACTGGCAGGTAGTTGATGAGCGACTTAAAAGTTTTCCATGGACTCATGAACATAGGACAGGACGAGTGCCCTCTGGTATCACAAAGCGATTTGGTTATTGGAAAGCAGAAGATTTTAATCATTTTGCATTTGCTGCCATGGAAGCCTGCTTAGGTGACATGCTACAAAACGATCCTGAAGCTAGGGAAATTCTCTGTTGCCTTGCCCGTATTATTGAGTTTTTCAGCAACCATGCTAGAAATGGCTGGAGCGAAGCTGATGCTTGTACATTTCACGAAATGTGTGTGAGATATACTAGATGTACTAGTAGAAGAGAGCCATGGTGTTGAAAGTTGTGTAATCACATTGCATAATCTCCTGCATTTTAAGGATGATATTGCTCGTTTCAGCTCAATGGATAACTACTCATGCTGGACAGAGGAAAGGGCCGTTAGGAGGTACATTCTTGCCTCTAACAACCACAAGAACATTGAAATTACTTTTGCTTTGAGTGAGGCAAGGCGAGAATTTCTAAAACTGAGGTAATCAAAACAACATGTTGAAAATCATCTAAATGCTCATCAAGCTGACATTTTCAAGGTAACTACCATTATTAATATTATTGAATGTTGGCGACTACTGTCATGCATACCACCCTTGCAGATCAATCATACTTGCACATTTTGGTCAAAAGCCATTTTTAAAATATTTACATTTTCACAGACAAAACACCCCACGTGTGCAAGATTTCCTTACATTGTAAAGTGCAGCTACTGTTGCCATGGCCATCTAGTCAATGAAAACCAATCACAACAATATTGAGAAGCCAAAAATTGTAAATTTAAAGCTAATTCCACCTTCTTTATTGTACATGCTTGGTTTTCCACATTCTTTTGGGGAAATGTACATGTACTTGTACACAAAATTTTCTTTTCTTTTGTTCTTTTTTTTTTGTTTGTTTAGCCTTCAGCACGGTCATTGCCGTTTGCAAAGAGACTTTTAGAGAGTTCCAAGGGCACAGTAAATTATGACCGATTGTCAGTCGGCATTCTTGTTGGTGGTGTTAAAAGTATGGAGCTATCTAATAGTGACTGCCAGACTATTAGCATTGCAAGAGGTGTTCCAGTTGATGATGTTTCAGTTATTGGATGGTGTTCCAGAAGTCTGTGAAAACCAGAACACTCTTTTGAGGGCTTGCGCTACAGAGTTGGTGAACATGTGATTTTTGCTGACCCAGACAAGGGAGACACTGTTGCTGTACTGGAGTGTTTGTTTTCTGTCAGAATTGACAATGTGTCTGTTCTCTTCTGCAAAGGGAAACATTTTAAATATCATGGAGAAGCAGACACTGGCAACAAGCAAGTCTGCCCAACAGATAACACAGTCATATTTGAAGCTTCACTTCTCAGCAGAAAGGTGATGCTGTTTGCAAGGAATGACAGTGATGATGAGCAGGAGGACGATTTGGGGGATGGTCAGTGCTTTATTCTCGTGGACTACATGCGCCGGGTGTTTCCTGTTACTGAAGGGACAGTTGTTGTTCCTTACTATCCTGTAGTCCATGACATGGTAGAAGTCAAAGGAAATGATGGGCAAGTCTGGAAAGCTTATGTACAGTCGTTCAACCTAACCCGTTCAAGTGTTAATGCTAGATTTTTTGTAGAGGATGGTACACAACCTGGTAAATGGGTACCTGAAAGAAGCCCAGTGCAGGTCATTCACTTCAACAGTATCCTTGGAATTTCAAAAGGTTACTGGCAAGCAGCATATTCTTGTTGGATTGATGAAGAGGAGTAATAATCAGTTCCAATGTTTTTATCATGATGATAGTATTCAGAGATGTTGCCTTGATCAAGTGTAAAATAACACCTTTCAAGGAAAGAAGTGCTGAAATTATGGATACTACCCACAAATGTAACTATGAATATTTTTAATTGATTTGTTTTGAAAATTAAGGAGAAACTGAGCATACAGACAAATCACAACATAATTGTCTTCTTTTTTATTGAAGTTCTTGTAGTTAAACAAAAATATTTTACCATACACTTGTAAAGAACCTTCATTGTAGGTACGGAAATGTATTTTCCTTAATTGAATTGGACAAAAAAATGATGGGAAAAATGATAGTTATGATGGTTTATCACTCAAACAATCCGAGTTTGCTTCTGTGGTTTTTTATTGGATTATCACCTGCTAGAAGTGATATTCCAATAATTTACCATAAAAACCAACTTGGAGTTGTTTTGGTAAATGACTGGTTTATCAGTCAGTAAACAATCCAGACTGATTTAATGGTTTTTTATTGGACTATTACCTATAAAACATAATTTTCCAATAAACTACCATCAAAATACCAACTTGCATTGTTAAACAACTGATATACCAATGATCTTCCAAAAATCTCCTTTCTCCTAAAGAAATTATGAAATATTCCAATATTATTCCAATATTGGATAGTTTAATTCAGATGTTTTCCAATAATAATCCAACTTGGAATCTCTCAATTTTTTCCTGTGATATATGCAAAAGGTAACTGGACATTTTGCACAAAAGACTTTTCAGACAAGTCTTTTAGCACAAGTTTTGGATTGTTTGCACAATTCTTAGTGGTCATTTCACACAATAATTATAAGTGAGAAACATCAATATAAAAGAATTACGGTCAACTCGCCGATGGTCCAACTCGCCGACGCCAACTCGCCAACGCCAACTCACCGACGTATAAAATCGAGTAGATGTCGGCGAGTTGGTCCTCAATCCAATACAACTTATTAGAAGTTAAACATACAGAAAAGTAAACGATATTTAGTAAAAAAAACGCTGGTGAATATTGGCGAACATCAAACAGAAGCTTAAACATTGGTGAACAGTGGTGAACATCACCAATGACTGTAACAGCTTAGGACGCGAACGAGATACAGCACACTGTAAAGACTCATCATGACAATCGATCAGATTTTTTAAGAAAACTTGGCTCTCTAGATAAAATCTTTAGTAAAAAGCAATTCTTTTTATTTGCAACAAAGTTTATAAGGATCTCGAGGCGAATAAAGTAAAGTAAACATCGCCAATGACTATATCCACTTCAGACGCGAACGAGTTATTGTGTAACAACAACACCTTAAAGGCTCAGATTTTTTCAAGAAAACTTTGCTTTCTAGACGAGATCTTGAGTAAAAAGCAATTCTTTTTATTTGCAACAAAGTTTTTAAGGATCTCATGCCAATCGGTCTTATTTATTTAAGTCAAGTCGATTGGTAAAAAGTCAACGCACAAACGGTGTTGTTGTCACACAATAGGGACTTTAAGGCAGGGGTTGCACTGTGGCCTTATTTTTCTTATGTCGCGTCATAAGTTGTCCCATAAATATGTTGCGACATTTACACCACGGGAGTCATGGAGGTGGCACATGTGCGACATAAATGATATTTGAAACCAGACTGTCAACTCTTTATATTTCACGCGCGAAAAGAGCGCCAAATATAATTTTTAGACATGAGGCTGGTGCTAGTTTTATTAGCAACATTTCTTCATTCTCTGTTTAATTTGTTCAATGTACAAAACCTTATTGGTTTGTACGCATTGTACAACATTCGCCAACGGCAAATGTTGGCCCTTGCCGCTTTAAACCGACGTCGACGGATGCAGAGAAGAAGAAATCGCCGATTTAGATTTTGGTGTTTACCACGGCCACGACAATCATGGTTCGAGATCCATTATAATGATCACCGCATTCCTGATGACTTCTTTAAACAGCAGCTCCGAGTTCGAAGAGCAACTTTTAATCAGCTTTTGAACCTCCTAAGTCCACATGTCGCAAGACAAGATACATCTATGCGAAGCTGTATTCCAGCAGAAAAGATTTTGGCGATAGGTTTATACAGATTAGCACATGGGAATTCATATGTTTCCATTGCCCCCGTTTTTAATGTCAGGAAATCCACAGTCATTGAAGCAGTACAAGATGTCGTGAACGTTTTATACGATCTGCGAAATCGTTACATCAAGTTCCCTACTATAATCCCGGAGATGACTGAGTGCATTGCAACTTTTGAGAGAACCAGATCCGAGTTACCAAACGTTGCAGGTGCTATAGATGAGACACATATCCCAATCATCGTGCCCAGAGAAGATGCAGTTGACTATTTTAGTCATTACCAGCAGCATGATATGATTGTTCAAGGGATTGTAGATGGTACTGGGAAATTCATTGACGCAGTTGCAGGATTCCCTGGGAGTGCTCATGATGCAAGGGTTTTAAGAAACAGTAACATTTACCAAGAGGCTGAACAGGGAAACATTCTACAGGCTCCACGGATAGATATTGATGGGAATGATATAGGTCCATACCTAGTTGGAGATAGTGCTTATCCGCTAACACCCTGGGCCCGGTTGTTCAAAACTGCGATTAGCGCTAATCCACGATTAAATAGGCTAATCGCCGATTAAATTTAAGTCGCCGATTAGTTTCTGTTGTTCAAAGCCCGATTATTCCTAACCTTCAATCAAACCAAGGGTTAAATCTAACCCTTCTCGCTAGGTGGATTAAATCCTTAATCGGCAGATTAAAAAATAAAAATCACAACATGGCTGACTTGTTGTATGGTTGTGTTGGTGTTGATGGGCGAAGAAAAAGGAAGCAAAGAGAGTTTAGGAGCATCGGTTTCACGATAGATGGATATACAGACGAAGAATTAAGAGCAAGGTATCGCTTTGGAAAGGAGTCTATAGAGTATATTACCGACCTTTTGGCAGATAATCTTCATCGTAAAACCTACCGCAATCCTCCTCTTTCCGCTCTCCAACAAGTCCTCATTGCTTTGCGCTTCTACGCCATTTGTTTTTTTGTTTACATGGGAGTACATGTAAAAGAAAATAAGAAAGAAACAAAAGTCTAAAGTCCGTTAATTTTCACTTTGCTTTGTGTTTGTTAGCGAAGTATACATTTTATGCAAGGTATGGACATTGAGAGGTATTACAATAATGTTTCCATTTATAAACTTACCTGTTTCAAACCCCTGTAACCCATAATAATGATCATATAACATATCAATGTGTAATGACAAGAAATCACTACATTAAATCGCATTTAAACAGTAACAAAATAATAGTTTGTGTGTTCAATTCATTATTCAGTTCATTCAATGTTGACAAGAAATCACTACATTAAATTGCATTTTAACACTAACAAAATAATAGTTTGTGTGTTCAGTTCATTCCTTTTTATTATTTTCCACATACTTATTAAAACAGCCAACAAGTTGGGACATGAGCTGAATTTGCTGTCCTTGCGAATCTTGCATCCGCTCCATAAAACTAGCCATTTGTTCCCCTTCAGTGGCAAGCTTTTTGATGGCCTCGCCAATTGTATCATCTTCGCTGTCGCTGTCGTGCAGGCGAGCAGGCCGCTTTTGACCCTTTACTTTTTTTCTTTCACGTCTTCTTGCCACTGAACTACCAGCGGTTGTAGGGGTGGTGCGACCAGCCGAACTGGAACTGCTCGACGCTTCAGCAGCACTTGTTTCTGGACTATTTGCTGAGCTTCCTCTGTTTTCTGCAGCCTGCGTGCCAGCTTGCTCCACGTTGTTACACGTGATGATACCACGGCAGCCAAGGACAGAATCAATTATGTCGTAATGAGGACTTTTACGCAAATTTCCCCCACTTTGCCGACGATTCCAGTCCTTCTTTTCTTTGTACTGGTTCTTCAAATGCTTAACTTTGCGCTGGCACTGGTCGAAAAAATCTGCGAGCCAAAGGGTGCAAACAATCCATCCCCATACTGCGAATAATCAGGTGAATAACGTAAATTCGTAAACTGGTATGGGTTGAAATTCGCCATAATAAAACGTTTGAAGAGAAAACCGGTGACTAAAATTTTAACCCAATAGCTGTAGCTAGCAGTTCACATGTGTTGTCTTTGTAGAATTGCAAAACTCCAATTTTTGCCCGTATTTCAGATATGATTGACGTTGACGACAGAAGAAAAACAAAAAATTGTTATTTTAAGGCCATTAGACAAGATATGACCTGCTTTGAGGCAGGACATCGGCTTGTTTGATCTTTAGGTCCTTCGGACAAAGTTATGTCTGGGCGCGACAAAAGGGTCGCACTTGTCGCAAGCATGCGATGACAGATTTTATGTCTAATGTAAACACCAAAAGCACTAGTGCGACCCCTGCCTAAGATCCAACAACGTGGACGTCGTCAAATATACGAAAGCCGCGTGGGGCCTGTGTCGAGGACGCCGTGTTCATGGCGGGAAATTTTAAGTTATGATGGCGGGATTCAATGACGCGGCTACCCGATTATAAAATAAAAAGAGTAGTGAAATTACTTTATTTCTGAACAACAGAAACCGATTATAGTATTGTTTTCAGTGCAAATGGCGACTTTTAAAGAAACTCGCGAAATTTTGCTGGCCAGCTATCCCTCTAATATCATTACGATTGAAGAATATGCTTTGCTTTTCGAAGAAAACAGTTCTTCAAATTCCGCAATACTTTGTATGCGACCAGGGAACTGTGAAGGGCTTTGCATGCTTCTGAAGCAATATTCCTTTCCTTGTCGATACTCAGACATGATACCTATTTTCGGAAGGCCAGTACCAGAACTTTGCATGATATGCAACACCGCAACAGACTGGATTTATGCACATCATACCACAGCATCACACAATGGAACCAAACCATTTTAAATCCACTAGAGCTGGAAAAGTACGCGGAAGCTGTTTTTAACCAAGGGGCGCCACTAAGCAATTGCTTTGGTTTCGTAGACGGAACTGTGCGGCCAATTACTCGACCGGGGAAAACCAGCGATTGTTATACAACGGCCACAAACGCGGACATGGATTGAAATTTCAGTCCGTGGTCCTACCAAATGGGTTGATTTCACACTTGTATGGTCCAGTAGGTAAGGCGTGATACCAGCAAATTACTATGCTTATAATCAGAACAAAGTTTAAAACTATTGTGGAAAAAGTGAGTACGAATTTCATTGGCTTTTCCATTGACTACCCTCACCCTCACGCCCAACCGGCCCATTTTCCCCTTGCTTCTCTCCGTCAGCAATAAACAAGTAAATTGTCTGTGCATAAATATTGCTTTTTATCTATATACTTAAGTTCTAATCTTGTCTAAACAGAAGGAAGGAAGCATGACGCAGCAATGTTGGCAGAGTCAGGCCTTTACAACAGTCTCCGGACACATGCTGTCTCAACAACCGGCCAACCGATGTGTATCTATAGGGATCCAGCTTACCCACTTCGGATACATCTTCAGGCACCTTTCTGGCAGCGAGTACTGACTGGTTGGTTAGGCAAGTATGCTCCGATTCCTTACAATAGAGAGTTTAAGATACCTGGACGGCTGACCTCGAGGACAGCTGACCGGAAGTAAATTTCGCGTGTAGACCACAATGCGCATGCCTGGTCCACGCGGATTGCAGTCCTGTTTGTGTCGAGGACGTGAGAAGTGGTGTTTTGCCGTCCACCAGTCAACGTGAGTACTGTTACTATTATTTCCCCATAAACTTCCGCATGTTTTTAGATTTTCGAACTTCATTAGGTGAACATTGTTTGTCACTTTTTTGTTTTGGGCAATAAAACCACTGACAAGCTGGTTAAAATTGTAAAAGTGATGTGCACTGTACACAGCCACGGTGGAGCATTTCGACTGAACACGTGCGTTAAATTTTCTTGCTTTACTAAAAAAAGTCCCTAGCACTTGAACCCACTTATCCTCTGGGTGAAAGATGTCTTATCTTGTATTAAACTTTAATCTACACGGTCCAAATGCTTTTCCCTTGGTCAGTTAGGAGCGAGAAATCAGAGAAATTGTTTATCTGCCTTCTCTTTATTTACAGGATTAGC